ATTCTGGAATGGAACAATGTGTTTTTATAGGCACAAAATGCTCAGTATTACATCTTAACTATGCTGACAATTAACATTCTTTTTTCTCATCTCTTTGAGACTGACTGGAAGTACATGTATATCATCTGTGTGAACTTTGACCTCTAACAAGAAACATTTGTATCAAGGTGGATCATGTGACCTTCATAAATTCATGACCTTGTCATAAAGTTATCTAATTGTAAACACAATGTCAAATTAAACTTTTTTCTGCAGCTATAAACTGATAAGCCAGATGTATGTAAGTTTTGCTCATAAATTCCTATGCATTGACTTCACTTACTGATTTTCAGATGTGTCTGTGTAATATTGTTGAACATTAAATAGAACATTGTTTTTATAAACTGAAGCTCAAACACATCTTAATAAATTAAATGCAAGGTGCTTTATATCACAGACAATATCTACAATATCTCAATAATAATGACTACCTGGTATACATTACATTCCTAATTATAACATAAGGATTGAGTATACACAGTCAGGTAAAATGAGTAGCTGTGGTAAAAACTTGATGATGTGGACTGATATTGCTACATGTACTGTACATTGTATTGGATAGCTCTCACACACATAACCAATTAACCAATATATCAATGGTGTCTACTGGGGGTCTCACAAGGGAGACCCAGGACTGTACTGGTAATGTATAGCCATGGTAACTCCCCAGATAGGCAATACCAGATGTGTATGTTACCAAGGATACAGAATTCTAGAGGTCACACATGCCAATATGTCTGACCATACAATGTGTGCAAACTGACCACAATTTACATTACGACTAAAGGTCTTTTTCAACCTGACATATGTTCTTGCCTTCATTTTATAGATAGTAACAATCTTTCATCAGTTTCTGTGAAATTCCACTCACTTTATAAGGAACTGGATGTTTTGGTTCTTTTAAAAGTTCTGTTACATGAAATCGTTTGGTACATCTTTTAAATCTCTCCCCACCCCCACCCATCCCATAGCATTAAATGAAATTTCATGCTGAATGGGATTGGCTACATACTTACAGCATGAAACATAGTTTATGCATGTAGTAATAAAAGAAACTGACTGCTGTAGCTAATTTTGGAAACTTCCCGTCAGTTTTAGAACAGTGTTTGCAGACTTTTTGTGTTGAATAGACATTTCACTAAATCTGCCATTCTCAAAAATATTTATTACATTTTGTACTTAGGGAACTTTTTGCACACAAAGTTTATATTTTCTACATCATTGCAACACTATATAGATATTGGATTGACTATTACAGTCTGTGATTAGCACTTATTTTTCTGTATATATGTTGACTTGAGCAAGTCTACTACTTGTTCTGGCAGTGATCAAAGAGTGACCACAATCAGTTAGACTTGTTTAAGTCCATAGAAAAGGAAATGTTAATGCAGGATATGAGAATCCAATTTATCATGAGAGAAGGGCACATTCCACTAACATGCTGGGTATAGATTTTAGCTGAGTTCCTTATCATCTGCCACAGTAACGTTACACATAACACTGATAAAGGAGAGCTGGAGTATATGAATGATCACATCTTTATCTACAGTGGTTCTCTCATCAACAGGCAATGCTGAATTTTGTCTAGCTAGCATAAAATTACTGCTTGGTTCTATTTCTTAAAAGATTTTTTTGTACTTTTACAGAGTAATTTGTTCTTATCTATCAATGAAACTTAGAATTAACAAATTTAACAAATGAGACTAGGTACGGTATAAGGTATTGGCATCATTGAAGGTCATATTGTACAAATGACGCAGATTTCTCATTCAGAGCTATATCTCCTGGAGATAAAGACAAAACTTGGTCAGAAGCCACAATGCTTTTTTAATGAAAAAATTATTGCAAAAAAGAAATGAGAAAAGTTTACTGACAGCTGTTGCAATGAAGATAGAAAATATTGGCCACAAAATTGTCTACTGAGACATAGACATAAGAATACAAGTATCGGTAGGTCAAATACTATATCATGGAAGGCGTTTAAAGGTTAAATAGAAAATGAAAATGACAACATAAAAACATTTGTGGTGTAAGTAGGGTGGCAAATGAAATAAGGGCCACTATATACAAGGGTGTTGCGTTGAGGGGTATTATATCAAGGGATGTTGTATGTAGGAACAGTACATTAAGGAGTGTTACATTGAGGGGCAGTGTATCGAGAAGTGTTACATTGAGGGGCAGTGTATCGAGAAGTGTTACATTGAGGGGCAGTGTATCGAGAAGTGTTACATTGAGGGAAAGTATATTAAGGAGTGTTGTATTGAGGGGAAGTATATTATGGGATGCTCTATTGGTGGGCTAAATATGAAGGTTAACCAACTCTATTGATCATGCTGTGGGAAACAGATTTTTTACAACTTTATTAATGTTTTGGGTTAAATATAGTGGAAAAGGCACTGTATTATAGACATTGATGTGAGATTCAATCAACAGCTTGTTTTAGAATCTAAAAAGTGTACAGTGTGAAAGATTGACCCAACATGTTTACAGGATAGCATCTGTTGGTGACAGGATCTTATGGCATGAACAGTAGGTTGATTTACAGTGACGTTTACATCTATAAAATATTTGAAATACTAGGAGCAAGGAGTTATGTGTTCAAGGACATTACAGGTTTATGTGTTCTGAACTGATAAAAAGTGTGATTACATGTAAGCAGAAAAAAAAGACATTTTCAAATGAAGTCAATTTTACATCAATCAAAACGTCATGATGTCAGAAAGTATTTGACCACCCATGCTACATATATCAGAACAAAACTGTAGATGGTTAACTTATATATACCAAGGTATGTTATAAAATAGTTTTCACTGGTCGTCAACCTAGATCAATCACCAGGAGGTGAGCATGACTCTCTTGGTCATATTTTATGGAAATGTATGTCAGGTGAAACATATCCTTAAGATCTATTCGTGGTATACACCATATTCCACAAAATGAAATAAATTTTCCCTGGCTATCTTAAGTATGTGGTATATTCTGTCAGCTTAAGTCTGTTTTAAACTTCAGATCTATATAGTCTGGTATATTCTGTAGTCTGATGCCTATTTAAAAGTTCCTAGGCTATCTATACTACCAATATAGAGGAATCTGTAAAATGCTTGTTATTTGTATCCTATGGCCTTTATCAGCTAAAGGGTGTTGTGTTAACTGAATGTTTTGATCTCTGGTTCTAGATGTTTTCAATCTGGATGGTTTTGTCTTTGTGTTTGGCTACCTAAATTCCTCATTATTGTGTTGGTCTCGACATCTATTTCATATGTATTTATGTAAAGTCTGTGGTCTCTCACAAAAGAATTCTCTAAAGACCTTGGTTTCTCACAAAGATATTCACTGACGACCATGGTATTCTCTCATGACAAGTGGTCTCTTTTTTGGGGTTTTCTTTTTTGAAGACTTAGGTCTCTCACAAAGCTATTCTCTCAAGACTGTGGTCTCTCATAAAGCTATTCTTTCAAGACTGGGCTTTCACAAAGCTGTTCTCTCAAGACTGTGGTCTTTCACAAAGCTGTTCTCTCAAGACTGTGGTCTCTCAACAAGCTATTTTCTCAAGACTGTGGTCTTTCACAAAGCTGTTCTCTCAAGACTGTGGTCTCTCAACAAGCTATTTTCTCAAGACTGTGGTCTTTCACAAAGTTATTCTCTCAAGACTGTGGTCTCTCACAAAGCTATTCTCCCAAGACTGTGGTCTCTCACAAAGCTATTCTCCCAAGACTGTGGTCTCTCACAAAGGTATTCTCTCTATGAAGGTATATTTTCAAGGTTGTCTGAAGACTGTGGTTTCAAAAGGTTTTTTTTTGTGCCTATCGCCCAAAAGTCTCTACGTAGGACAGAAATCAAGATTCTTTCTCTATATATCCTTAGTAAATTCTGAAAAAATGAAAATTTCTTGACCAATTTACATCTATTATTTTTTCAGGCTGATATTGTTCAAATAAACCACCTTCACAAAAATAAATAACTTACATGAAAATAGCCTTCAATTTTTGCTTATATTGTTCCTTTTAACTGCTGTTGGGGAACAGGTGCTCAGGGTTCATTGGGATTGTAAACAAGTCCTTCACATGACTGTTAACAAAATCTGATAGGAAGATTAACCTCAGCAGCAGATCTGGTATGTAAGTCACTGTAACATCAACTCATTCACATTCTTACAAATTCAGAGATTTAGGTGTCTGATAAAATGATTTAAGCTAAATTGCTACAGTTTATGTTATGGGAAGTGGTCTTTTATTTTTCTTTATTAAGTTTACCCGATCATTACAAGTTAAATAAAAAAGTTTTGAAAAACTTTCAAAAGATAATTGTCATGATGTAAGGCATATTCTGAGACTAAGTTTATGTAACTTGTTCTGGTAACACATTCTTGTTTTTCTAACCCATTGAAATACATATCACTTAGGAAGTACAATGACATTAGGATGGGGTTTAGGAAGCAATACAATGACCCTGGGGTGAGGTTTAATTTGTATTACTATTAACCCAGGGTCGGGGTTGTTTTACTATAATGCAGGTGGGGGGTTTAAGTAGCAATACTATAACCTTTGGGTGGTGTTAAGGTAACGATACTATAACCTTGGATGATTTATGTAATGGGTTATAATGCTATAACCCTGTGTTAAGTACTATGACCCACAGGTTTTGGTAGGAAAACATTTTCCCATAGGGTTAGGTTTTGGCAGAACTACCTTATAATCCACTCAACTTGAGGTAATGGCTGAGCATGATCAAATGCTGGGCACACAGACAATATCACATACCAAACAGCCATCCTATAATGTTTGACCAGCATATGATATTACAAGGAAGGATGTAATCCTCTATCACATTACTGGGTTACAGTTTTTGACCCCCTACCAGGGGCGACAGATGCCCGTCTTTGACACCTCCTCCCATCTTGCCCCAGTGATGGTATGGTAACTAGATAGCCACACGGCCCTGGTAGTGTGAGGAACACACAACATACCTCTGTGAGTCGGTCTTTAGATACATTCCCTGTCTACATCAGTAGCTGTGATATCTCCTTCTTCTCTACTCTCCAACTTTGTCGGATTTTACTTCTCTCAGGGCGTGAGTATTGAGAAATGTTTCATGAAAATTTTACAGATTTTTTCCATTATGATTTCTGATTTTTTGCAGGGATTTTTCAACTTGTTTTTCCAGAAAATTTTCCAATTCATCTGCATGCAACTCCTACACTATGTGTTTCCTATGTAACGATCTTACTTTACAAATTCTAGAATTTACCATTGTAGAAGAATTACCATATTTGTGTAAATTGTATTGATGTGGTGTAACTCTCAAATCTAACATATACAGATTTGCATCACGATTACAAATTTCCTAATGCCTTCATGTTGTTGGTGCCTACGTGCTGTATGTAAGTGTATAGTAATTGAGTGGGGAGAGGAGGGGTGGTTGGAAGTGTTAGTACATCACACTTGACAGTTGTTACATGTATGCCAGTTGGAAAAACATACAACATACCAATAAGATGTTGATGCACCTATCTACAATCTTATTCTTCATTTCAGCAACATTTACAATGTCCACTTACCTAACCATAATTGTATGCTCCAAAATTCTTATTGATCACTGCAGTGCTTGTGATTTTGAAGGGTCAATATTTTTCAAACTATATACTTACCACAATTAAGATAAGTTTCTGTTTATCACTTTCAGTTAGCTGAGCTTTATTTGTTAAATATTGATTGGATTACAGTATTTATTATCTTTGATTTATGGCTAAATGCTGCGAGTGTAATACTAATATCAACCATTCTTGTTGGTTCTGATATGGAAGCTCATTGTGGGAGGCAACCGGGCTACCAGGAAAAAACCCTAGTTAGGTAGGTGCCCCTTAAGCCATATTTTGATACATTTTGTACGTAATTTGTACTTAAGTTGGACTTTTCTAGCAAAAACTTGCAATGATCTCTTAGACTCTTTCACAAATGGAAAAACTGGGGCAGGAATGATCTGTGTTCATCTAACAAGTAACACATCAGATATGGATACATAACCTGTTGTGACCAGTTAGAATATAATTTTAAATCATTGTTAGCTTTCAACTTTTGGAGAAATGAGATGGCTAAAAGTTAGAATATGACAGAAGACCATTGAAAATAATTATTTTTCCACCCCTACAACTCAAGTCAAAAAGATACTCTGTAAAACAATTTATCAGGAAACCTAATGACAGATGAGCTCTTGAGATGAAAGGGAGACAACTCCATCATCAACAACACTCTTTCGGGGCATATAATAGACAAACCAAAGGTTGTAAAATGCAAGTTTCTAAAAATATCAAAAGGTTGATAATTGCAGCTGAAGCGGCCAAGACAGGCTTGAAATAGACGTGTGTGGATTCGTATGGATGTGTGTTGGAAGTATATCATGTGTTATCCATGAAGATTCCAACAGAGAGCCAGGACATTTTATGTCTTATCTCACTACCAGTGACTAGTTAGCTTTTAGCTGAATACTCAAGTGTGAAAAAGTACAACCAAAGTTACATGATAGTAAGGTTAGATATGATTTATTACAATATAGAGTTACCATAGTTACTCAGGGACCAAGTGCTCTTTCCATTAAGCTGTAGTTTAGCTCGGCCATGGCTTTGTAACAAGATGCTTTCAAGACAAATATAATAATATTGAGAAGCTTACAAATCCTATATTTAATTTTTATGATTACTGTTTAAGGTAGTCCCACTCTCTCCTTGTTAGTTTTCATAGTCAGGACTTTTAAGTCTAGTTTAAACAAATTTGTATTATTCAATAATCCAGTAATATTAGCAAGTACATCTTTTATCTTAGGATGGGAAAATGAGCTTGGAGCTAATATTAATGTACTTTCTTTCATTTTTTTTTTCTTAGATAATGTTTTTAATCCTCATGCAAGAAAGATTTTTACTAAAAGATGTACTAACGCTACTGTGGTATACAATTTGTGAGTGTGAGAAACTTTGCATACAGGCCAAAAGCTGACAAGGCTTTTGTGCCTACCAGTTGATGGTGAGCTGACTCAGTTTGGTGTGCAGTAACTGCAGTGAGGGCTGATACTAATAGGTGGAAATGTTCTCCCAGCCACCTAACAATAAATAAGGAGGGCATCCTCAGATCTCAGCCTGATAATGATTTACAATAATTAGGTGAATTAGCTCCAATATTTACTGCATGTATCAGCAGTATTTGTTAGAGTGCCACACTGTAAACACAGGATACCAAGGGATCTGGTCTATCTCATAAGTATTACATAATGTAAGGCAGTGGGGGGTTCCAAACCCCATCTTTAGGGCCTCCTGTTGATCATAATACCAGGGCAGAAAGCTGGATGATAAAGGTCTCTCCATATAAAGTACAATATGAGATATTTTGTGAACTTAAGGAGTTTGCACGTGTGTGGTTTTACTAGTTACACTACCTCCTCCTTGAAATATACCCCATCACTTTCTCCCCACCCTAGATATGCCCCCTATTTCTCCCCACTGTAGGTACACGTATGCTCCCTACCTTTCTCTCCACTGTCAATATCTACCTCTTTCTGGTCTATATGTATATAACAGTTATCATTAGCACTTTTGCACAAAGTATATTGTTTGTGATACATGTATCTTCGTGTATACACAAAGTTATTTTTTTTATTGGTTATCAGAAGTTATGTCATCATCAACAAGCTATTTACAGATTATGGGACTATTACTCATACATAATCAGCAGAATTCAGTCAGTCAACATTTTGTTTTCATCCCCAAATACACATGATGGGGATGGTGTTTCACTAATAAAGGCTGAACATTTCTCTCATGTTTACAAAAATTAATCTAGATACAAATAAGATAACCTGGACACAAGGTGTTTGTTGAAATCTCTGTATAATCTAGAAAAAAATCCCTTACAAGTTCAACAAAACGATTCCAATGGTTCACTAAATACACAAAGCTATTCTTTCAGGTTGTGCACACATTTTCTGGTGTTGAACCTATGATCTATGCAACTGATAAGCTTTGCAGAATTAGTGCCCCTGATGTTCAAGGCCTGCCATGCACATCTAATGAAAGGTTGTGATGTGTGAGCATTTTTAACTTAGTTTAAGGCTTGTACTGGTAGATAGATGATATAACTAGACTATTATGATTCAAAGTTTCTTCGTCTTTTTTTGTTGTAGTTTGTGTAACATATAACTCCCATCATGGACTACGATGAGGAACCAAGGTAAGTTGAAAAAATTGTCTAGCAACAAACATTTTCAGAGAATACACCACAATATATAATTTCTGATCTAAAAGTTTATCTATCACTCAATCAATGATTACTATTCATTAGTAATTAACCTAAAGTAAAATAATTTGTTGTGTAGTTTGACACACTTGTAGAAATGCATGGGGTATTGTATTGTCTTATAAAGTATATATATATTTTTCTTAGCAGCAAACATGATATACTGTAAATGTCTGTATTTTAGTGGTAAGCTTATTTTGGCGCAATTCATATTATATTATATCGCTTTGTAAATATTGTGAAATTTTGTGATATTCTAACATATTTATTGTTGGTATGCTATGACTGTGGTGGTGATGGTAATTTTTAAAAGTTTTATAATGCGCTAAAATTTGAATACATTAAAATCAATAACTTTACAGTATATTAAGAGTTCTGTGTTTATCCTGCAATAAATCCAGGGTGCCAGTACATTATCTAGTAGCCTAGAAGTAAGGATGGACTTACTATATGTCCCATCTACTGGACTGTAATAGATATGGCTGACCTTATCAAATGGCACAGGAGTTATTGTTGGATAAATATAGTACAATACAAACTGAAAATACAAGAATTTTATATAAAAGGCTACAATAGAATTCCTGAAAGAGAGCCATTAGTTAAATATAAAAATAAAGAAAACATTTTTATTTCACTTTGATCAATATTATTATGATGAATACATAAAATCCTTTCTAAACTACTATAGAAAGCTGGCTGGGAGGAAGGGGTATGAAGATTAATAAATATTTGTTTCAAAGATCTGCTTTTTTTAGTGGTAAAAAGCATTCAGTATAGATTTCTCATTAACAAGCAAATGAAATGGCGATCTGATCGACCTTTCATTGATCAAATTTCCTTGTCTCCCAAAGATAGATTTTTAGCTGTGGTGATAGGCTAATTTGATTGTATCATTTTGGGGCAAGAAGACAATGTTTCCATGCAAAGAAAAGAGCATTATCCTCTAAATTTTTGCTTACAGAGATGAGACCCAAGAAACGTAAGTTGTTGTATTTGTAGATATGTAGTCGTTTGTTGTTTCTAACCCTGTAAGTCTAATGGTCAAAGGGATATAACTCCTTTCACTCTTCTAATTTATCATGTTTAGAAAACAATGCAAAAAAAAAAAAAAAAACATTATGAAAATGAAGAGAAAAAAGAAAAAGAAAAATCAAGTGGCCTTTCTTGTATAAGAATGTCCTTGAATAAGAGAGAAAAAAGAAAGAGGAGAAAATTTTGTTTACAATAGCACTACTTTCCTGATTTTCCTACATGTAAAGGGTGTGATTTCTATCCTGTTTTTTCTCCTATTGCAGGTTAAACTGTCAATAATATTGTGACAATACAAGCAAACTAGTTATAAAACAAAAGCAACCTAGGAGAACTTTTCCAGCATGAATACATCTTTTTTTTTAATTAAAAAAAAAAAAACACTTTATCTTCTGTATAACATGAAATGTTTCATCTGAATTCTTACTGGTTGCCTGTTTGTTTTTGTGGATTTTCTACAGCTATGAAAACAATGAAAGTTTCTTCCCAGCAAACATTTCATGTTATATACCTTGTGTGATTGCAGACATTTTCACAATATGATTTTGACTAGGCTATCAAATTTTGTAAAAAAAAACTGAGCTAAAAATACATCTTGAAAGATACTTGACTTTTTTTTATTATTATTTTTTGAGGATGTTTTCAATTTAAAAAATATCATGAAATACAAAACAATACCAGTATTTTGAGAAAGATGTTGAAAATTTATTAAGCAAATAAGTCAACAAAAAAGGACCAGAACCAAAGTATGATGACAAAAGCATATTTTAAGGAATTGTCTGAACTTAATGATTTACTTATAGATTTTAAAGAATTTTTTATTAGGCATATTTTTGTTCATTTCACTATAATTTTATTGTAGTAAAATTAATTAAGATATTTTTTGCAGCCATTACAATGTATAAATGTTTGACAATTTAGCTTTTTATTACTCTGTCAATGTTGTGGCGCTTCTGTTTCCAGGTATGAGAACACAATAAAAACCATGGAAGATTCCTATTTAAACACTCCACTAAAAGTAGATTTCATTCCAAATTGATCATTTTATCCCCAAATAAGTGAAAGAAAGTCCTGTCTTTAATATTTTAAGTAACTGAAATAATTATTACCGTATTTGTTGTAAAAACATTTCTTTCTTCACTGTTAGAAGAAATGTGTTCCACTTTAAATCTGCCTGAATACCTGTTACCATACATAGAAAATTGTCTTGCTAAATAAAATTTATGTATCTCAGGATGTAACAATAAAATGGGAACATGTTATTACCTTTAACAGAAAATGTAATTTATGCCTTTTTATGTTTCTTAAGGACTTGTCCAGTTGTAAACCATAACCCTTCTGCACTTCATACATAAATATTGAAATGCATTCTAAGAATCCAAAAGTTCAACTCTATATAAACTCTTAATGGAAAACTGAAAATGATTTATTAGAAGTTTTTACAGCAATGTAAAAAAACAAGTTCCATGGCTTTTGTTGGATTCTTTCAACTTGTCAACCAAATAATTACACCACTGCTGACTAGTTGTAACCTGACCAAGGCACCTACATCTTGGTCTGTCTGGACTAATGATTAGCAACATTTTTAATCTTTGGTTCAGCTATACTAAGCTATTCTAAATTAACAAAGAATTCTAGCACTGCAAAATAGTCATACTTACTGAGAAACAAATTGAAAATGAAATATTGAAATTTAACAATGCCGTATTGAAGCAAATTTTTTGAAATTCACGATTTAAGTTTATAGTCACATATCAGGTGCCTCTGATGTTCTTATACATGTATGCTTCCTGTGGCTAGGTATGATAGCGTTGCTTACTCGTATATTGTCTCTGCATCAATCAGTATTCTCCTGCTTTTCTTTTACTATTGTCTTGTTGATCAGGATGGGAAGAATGGGGGTGACCAAGGGCATTACACTGAGTTATCTGTATAGGACTTGAAAACTTTTCCTTTTTAGAAAATCCTTAAATTATTGTTCATCACACTCTTTAACTTTTTAGCTGTTTTTATTGGCTGTTATAATGAGGTAGTATAAAACTGTTGTCATCTGTCTATTCCTTCTACAAATAAAAGATTTCAGATTTTCAATGTTATATATGAAATTGTTATATACTGCACAGTTCTGCTGAGGAGCCGTCAGAACAACCTCCAGTTGAGTGAGTGCTGTCATTGCAACCATGTGGATTTAAACCTTTTTTGTAGAATTTCCTTTTAGAATTGATAATTAACATATATTAGTCTTCAATCACATGTACTAATGACACAGATTTCAAATTCAAAGACAAAATGATGTTTTCATCAAGTATATTTGAAAAAAAGCGAAAACAAAAACAAAAAAACAGATGAATGTAGAAATTATTCAAAGAAATATTTTAGATTATTTTGAAGCCAGATATCAAATTGTTTGAAAATAAAATGGATTCAGCTTCGTCAAAACAATTGACATCATCTTCAATCTTCATCTTAGTTGTAGAACTTAGAAATGGGTTGATAATGAAATGTGACATGATGGTAGATATACTTTTTGTTGTCAGTTTTATTAGTAAACAGGTAGCGTAATTTTATGTTTATACTGTGTGTATTTTTCATCTGAATTTAGATGTAATGTTCTTTGTAATAAATGTATTTTGATATAATTCGCTTGCTTCTACAAAATATCAAATATTATTGAGGTGTCACATTTCATTTTCTATTTAAGTTAGCAACTCACCTGGTACTGAAACCTTTAGCACACCATAAGTTCGATAGTTTTTCTCTGTGTGTGGTTTAGTAGGTAATATCCTCCCTATCTGCTAGAGATTTCCCAAAAAATTTGTTTTCAGATAGAAAGAGTTAAAGTTTGTTGTGAATCTGGTATTTTTGTGTGATTTAGTTTAGAAATTAATTTAAAGGCGATTAACTTATGATTTATTGAATTTGGTATTTTCTTTATATGTATTTAATGAAAAATAACATTTTTTTAATTACAAACTTTACTGCAGTTGACTTAATGATAAACAACTTGAAAACTTACGGACTATTTTTGATTTATTCGTGTCATGATTTGTCATTTTAATTTTTTCTTTTTTTTTTCCTCTCTTGCTATACACACGATTAAGATAACGATATTGTTATTCATAGGGTCAGTCATAGTAACTATATCATTATATGATTTCTAGGCAGAAATCAGTCGAGGAGTCAAAAGGTGGTCCTAAGTAAGTCATGATAAATTGATTGTGATTTTAGAAGATGGAGTGAGGTTTGGTTAGAAAAACTCAGTAATGTGACTGAATCAGGTAGATTTCTTTAGTAGCCAATAGTTTGGTTTCTTCAGTTTGGTGTGAGCTTTGCAAATCTTACAGATGGTGTGTCTTCATTACACAAACTACAGGTATATTTTTATTAGATTTAGCATGCTTTCTTGATGAGAATCTTTGGTTTCTGTCTGAACTTTCGTGAAGACAACAAGATGAAGTGAGATAGCTATAGGTTTTTGGTTTCCAATTATCTTATAATGAAAATAGTATAAAGTAGTTAGTGCGTAATATCAATTTGAAAACATAATTTTCAGATTTGAAGATTTTTTCTTAACTTCAAATATATATATTTTGGTTTTCATAAAAGATTTCCTAATGTGATTTATTTATCAAGAACTGTTCGGTTTCATTTCATGTCACATTTATTAGGACTTTTTTTTCCTTTTTTCGTTAATTTGAGAAAAGAAAAAAAAAACTGAAAAAGTCCTAAGAAGCCGAAGAAGATACATTTTGGTATGAAAGAATGCCAGAAATGGAAAAATATTTTGATCCTGAGCAAAATAATGATCCAGAAAGATCGTAATGAATGTGTGTTTTTTTTTTTGGATTGCTGTAGTTTCTGGTCTTATCTAGTTTTTCTAGGATAAGTTGTTTGAGTGATGATAGCTAGTCCTTTTTATGTGCTTGCATCAGCATTACAGAATACATGTACGTTGATTTTTTTACTGTTGCCTTCTTTATGTAAAAAGAGATGTTTGTTCCTTGATCTAAGTGTTTCCATAGAACTAGGTGATTCTTTACAAGCTAAACAGATTTAATATTATTCTGATAGTCTCCCATTGATGGCCATCCTTTGTCCAACATCAGCAGGTTTTTTGAGGTTTTGCGTGTGATTGAGAAGCATGCATGATGGTCAATGAAGTTTGGGTTAGACACAGACTCGGTAAAGAAATGGATCAGTTTAGACTATCTGTTTTACACTAAGACTTGTTTCTTATTCCAAGTACTACTATTGTATTTGCATGCAAAATAAAGACTGCAGCACTGCTTATCAATTGCATTCAATGATATTTTTTCATAGTTGAAAAAAGCAATTAAAACTTTGAATAAAGTGTAATGTGAATGTCACATTTTAATTAACAAATAGTGATGTATAACTAACACTAAACGGTTGTATATGTATGATAGACAAAATAGATATCCCAGTTTTACTTTTCATCTCTGCATTTTACAGAAGTGGAGATGGTAATGAAGCCAGACTAGCAATGGAGGTAAGCAGAATGTCACAGAATTTATAACATCATCTTTGTTTTAAATGTCCTAGAATTATCACAGGTGGTTATGTGGCACCAAATGTTTGTGTGATATTTGTCACCTTATGTGGCATCATCAAGGGTTCATGTGATATTTATACCTATGTGGCATCACCAAAGGTTCATGTGATATCTATACCTATGTGGCATCATCAAGGGTTCATGTGAATATTCCCATGTGGCATCACCAAATGTTTGTGTGATATTTATCACTTTATGTGGCAACACCAAGTGTTAATGTGATAATTGTCACCTTATGTGGCATCATCAAAGTTTCATGTGATATTTATCTAGTCATGTGACATCACTACTCTTGCTTCTGAGTTTTACTGGAATTTGATGGAATCTAAAATTTTACATATAAAGAACGAAATGAAAATGTTTGCTGGTTTCTCAGGGCAAAGGCTTAATGATGCAAAATTCAAAAATATTTTCCCAATTTTTCTGAAAATCCTACTTAAGTTTCCGAATTCATTAAGGCATAAGAGGCTGTAAAATCAATGTAGAAGAAACACTGTGGTAGAATCACCCAATGGAGTTCATAACCAACTGTTCATAGAGAGAAACTTTCACTGCAGTTTGACTTTTGGTCATTTTGTCCTTTTATCATTGAGATGAAAACTGAACAGTTTTATGGGAGGAGAAAGGTTCCTTGTATACAGTATTATGATGGAGACAACCACTGTATTTAATGAATAGATATATATTGTCACATGCTGCATTTCCTGTTACTCAACATGGTTTGTTTACAGGAGGCCGCCAGGAAGAAAAAAGAGAAGGTGGAAAGCGAGATCGCAGAATATGAAGAGACGAGGAGGGAACAGCGTGAAAAGGAGGCTGAGGACCTGGAGCAACTTCGTCAGAAGCGGGTAAGAAATGCTGATAACAATGCATTACAGGTCTAGGTGATAATCAGAAGACAGCAGGAAGCATACTGTTCATTACCTTTTATAGTATAATTTTGCTACATATATGCAAGATTCTTTTTATTGATTATGAATATCTATGGTAGCAGTAGAAAATTGAGCTTGTACAAATTTCCAAAATATGGTGTACATAAGTAATTAAGATAAAAATGAATGGCAGATTTTACTCAGAATTAAACAAGGATATAAGTGTGTGACTGATCCATTGGACCTGAAGTAATGCAAATACTCACTTTTGTCTAGTTCACTTACTTACTTCTGTATAAAATTAAGGCACTCACTCCACATTAAAACCCATTTAAGCATATGTTATATGTAAACAAATTTATCATTTTCTGTTATTTCTGAATTTATAGGAACAAAGAAAGCAGGAGCGGTTAGAGGAAGATCGACGACTTTTGGAGATCAGGAAAGAGGAGGACAAACGCCGCAAGGCCGAGGAGGTTAGTGGTTGGCATTGTAAACCTGTGTCAAATAATTCAATAAAAAAAATGAGAAGCTAGAATATTAATATTGCCATTAAATTATGTACCGTAGAGGGAATCAGAAAAATGTGAAATATTTAAACAGTGATTTGCATCCTTTGATGAGTTGCTGAAATTTTATCTCTCTTTGTACTTTGAGAAGGTGATGGAATTTTCTAATTAGGGATGGTCCCTTTAGAAAGTGGGATGTTAAGCAGGGTCAGGTCAGTTCTTTAGAAAGTGGGATGTTAAACAGGGTCAGTTCTTTAGAAAGTGGGATGTTAAGCAGGGTCAGTTCTTTAGAAAATGGGATGTTAAGCAGGGTCAGTTCTTTAGAAAGTGGAACTCTTAATAGGTAAGTTTGTCGTATTAGAGAGAGATGACAGCTGTATAGGGAGGATCTTATAGAAAGTTGGTTGCTGTTTGTCGTATTAGAGAGAGATGACTGCTGTATAGGGATGATATTTTAGAAAGTTGGTTGCTGTTTGTCGTATTAGAGAGAGATGACTGCTGTATAGGGATGATCTTATAGAAAGTTGGTTGCTCATTGGGTTGTAGGATATTAAGAAGGAATGATTTCTTCAGAAAATTAGATGCTAAATAAGGGTGTACTTTTATAGAGAGGTGGCTGCTTTGTAGAGGTGGTCTCTTTTAAAAGTTAATTGCTCAATAGAGGCAACTTCTTAAGATAGTTGATTGTTTTCAAGATGACTGTAGGATGTTAAGAAGGGGTGGTTCTCTTTAGAGACAGGTGGCTGCTCTCTAGAGGTGGTCTATTTAGTTATTTGGACAATAGATAAGAGTGGACTCATAAGAAAGTGAGGTACTAAAAAGAAGTGGTCTCTTTAGAAAGTGGGGTATGAATAGAAAGGACTTCTGAAAAATGAAAGTCTCTCTATAGAGGGGATTTGTAAAAAAGAGGGTTTTAGAGTCATCTCTCAAGATGATGTGACTGATAATATGTATAAGTATGAAAAGTAATGTACTTTGGTGGTGTCTAATACTTTGATATTTTTTGACACAGGAGGAAAGGAAACGAAAGAAACAAGAGGAGGAGAGGAAAAGGATCGAGGCTAAGAAAGCCAAGCTAAAGGAAATGGAGGAGAGAAAGAAGATGTCTAAAACACCCAACTTTGTCATCACCAAGAAGGGGGCTTCCAACCTGGTTAGTCTTCAGGGATCCACTAAATGTTTCTCTACACCTGATGCATTTTATTGTTAAAGAATCTTACATGAGTTTTGAGCAATATGAGATTTATGAACCAAGTCTTTGAATTTTTTAAGCTTAGTGCCAAGGGCAAGGTGAAAGGAAAATTTGGGTTTCTTAAATCTCAAAATCGAAAAGAATGTAAGTCTGTTTATCACATAACAGAAATACTTTTGCAAACGTAAGTAAAGGATTCAAACTGGCAATATTCCCTATCTCTTTCTTTGATGATATCACAATGCACACGACAATAGAAACCATGGAAAACTTCGGCCAATCAATGTTCTGCTAGGTCATATTACATGTGTAGTCATATTAATGTTTGATTATATGTGTTATATTACAGGTTCGTTACATGATAACACACAGAATTTGTACAAGTTTCTTGCTTCCTTCATATGGATAGCAATCTATCCTGATGTTAATTTATAGACCAGTCTTGATAAAGATGTCATGTTTTATATTTTGATATTATAATTAATTACCAGTACAGAATTATATATCATATATCAGTAGGAACATTATGTGTTTATCTGTATAGAACATAAACATGGGGAGTTGGTGATAGGGCTTAAACTTGACCTGAATGCTCATTTAAATATCATAACCAGTAATTAAATTCAAGGCACTTTGTACCACTCTAACATAGGAGGGAACTGATCTGCCTGTTTATTTTCTGATGTTACTATGCCAATTGCAACAAGGCACATGTCATAAGTTTCTCGCCATGGAAACTTCAAACATTAATGGAGTAGGCACTTTGTAAATCTTGTGTCTTTATTCAGCAATAAAATCAAATAAAAGTTTACTTGGTCTATTGACTGAGGGATTTATTAATAAATGTCACTCACTCTGTTCTGTCTCAAATAGTAGATATTTTCTTAAAAAGAAACCAATTACCATGGCAATAATTGTAACATTAATGTCACTCTTGAAACATAAATCAGTATTTTTCTGCAATATTCCGTGCAGTCTTAAAAAGTTTTCACAAACAACTTTGCGTTTGGAAAATTTGAAGAACTGATCAGTTTAGTGAGAAGGAATTAGGTATTTTCTCAAATCACAAGATTGGGATTCTTATCTTTAAAAGAATGAGGGACTGGGTGTAATGAAATTGTGGTATTTGTTCATAGGAGGAGGCCAGTAAGGACATGGCTAAGTCTAAAGAACAGTTGGAGGAGGAGAAGCGTGCCATTCTTGCCCAGCGCATCCAGCCATTGAGTGTGGAGGGACTCGATTTGGCTGCCCTGGCTGAGAAGGCAACTGAGCTTCACAACAAAATCAAGAACCTTGCCAATGACAAGTATGAGCTGGAGGAGCGCTTCAAGAGCCAGCAATATGATGTAAGTCTAAGCAAGTGTGACCGATCACAGGCTGAAACAAGTAGATTTTATCTTCACAATCATACTACTAGAAAGAGAGCAGACCCTAACGTCCTAAAGGAAGTTCCTTATCATTTTCCACAAGAGAATTAATGAAAGATGCCTTAATGAAATATTTTTTTTCCAATAATTATTTTTTTTAGAGAAAAAAGTTAAGGAAATTCCAGTTTCCTTTAGGGATATTCCTGTGCTTCATTAACAAATTACATGAACCTTTGTCTTATGATTTATCATATAGATGATTGAATTGTCTGAGAGAGCTAGGCAGATGAACAAGGGGTAAGTCACTGTCTTTCTTTCTTTTTTTTTTTTGCTTTTTACTTCTTATATGTATTCATTTATTTTTTTCTAAGAAATTCTTACAAATTTACTTCTATGCAAAGTCAAAAATTATTTTGAACTGTTATGCTTATCTCTCACTAGACCATAACAATTTTATTTCATAAATGATTATTTTTTACAGAAAGAAGAGGGCTGTCCAGGTCGATGACTCGTAAGTAGATTTTTAATGCACTTACCTCCCTTGACATCAGGAAATACAGCAGCATAAGCTGATTTAATTGATATTGTCTATTACATCACCTTTCATAACTACTTGAAGGCTCTTCCAGATTTTACACACCAAAATGCTCATTTAATGTAAAGGAAAACAATTTCCTGTTCAAACATTAATAATGTCATGCAACATGCAGAAAATTAATTCTAATATTTTAGACCATTGTTATTTTAATTTATGATTTCTTTTACAGATTTGATCCCATGGCAGAAAAATACAGCAGCGCTCCCGTAAGTCTGTGTACCATAAACAACCTTTGTTCACTGTCATTAATCAGTGGATTGTTTCATTGTTTTGTTGATAACTGACACCATCAAATGGATAGAGGTCAATGGGTTCAAGGCAAGAGTTAACAACATGTGTTAGACCAATATTTTACAGCTTCAACATCTGAGGGTTTTGTTCTTATATATATAAAAAAATTCAAAGACTTGAGAATTCATCACACTATGAATATATATATACACTCTTGGAATATCTATGTAACAATGAAATTGAAGACTCACACTCAGTCATTTGATCGGCTCCAGATAAAAATGCCTGTTCATTCACTAGACTGTTAATTGTCCTTTGAAAATTACAAGGTGCTGCACCCAACTCAAAGCTGGTCAGTTTTACATTTACATTTTCATAATTCCATTTTCTTATTTTTTAACAAAGATCCTCTAGGGTAGACAAGATAGTTAAACAACCCTGAGATTAGTCAACTTTTTTCATGTACAAGGTGGCATGTAGAGAGCTTCTAATTTTGTCCTTTTATAATTTGAGGGTATAACAGAAAAAGGTAAATAGAAACAGGAACCCTTGAACTTTGAATATAAGTATCAGGTTGTTACATATATTTAGTAACTTCCTCTTTAGAAATTCAAAGTTAATTTATGTAAAATGCTATTCTTTTCTCGGGTATTATTGTGTAGTGCCTGCAAATTTTACAACAATAATTTAAATTCTGGTTTTTTTTCTTTTAAGTTCCAAGATTATATTTGTTTCCTAGGGAAATATGCAATTGATGCAATATTTTATATCAGAGAAAAACATTTATCAAAAATGTTAATCTAATTAGCGTACTATTCTTGAATGGTGCTGTCTGAATTATTCGAACATCCTATCAATGTTTGTACATGGTTCCTGTGTTCATGGACTTTATACCTACAGTCTACAGTACATCAAAATAATTTGGACTATGATTGGTAATGCTTGTAAAATGTTATTCAGCTTTGGTAAAGCAAGGGGAAACAATGGCTTGATATGAAATTATTAACAGAATCGGATGACATTTAAATTTTTCCAGCCAAAGATACAAGTAGCAAGTAAATTTGAACGTAATGTGGATAGACGAACATTTGATGAACGGAAAAACTTGTTTAAAAAGGTAGGACTATGTACTGTGTACCATTATATGATATATACATAACTTTATATCCTTTTCTTTCCTCTAACTCTGCATCCGTGTATGGGCACACCTATAATCTACACACTGGCGATGCTGATTTATACAACTCTATGAAACCTGCACATTTGTCCACCATTCTCTCCATCCTGCACCGCACACACTACAAATGACGGATCAATTTTCGGCCACTTTTGGGAATTCTTGTTGATGCATCTTTTGGCCAACAAACTGATCACTTTATGTGGATTATATCTGATCAACAATGTGTATGGAAACATGGTTATGACAATCAACAACCTAACTGTTCTACAACCTTTTCATTGGATTTATTGTGAAAATATCACTCTTGAAAATTTGTATTATATTCTTTATTGATGAAAACCTGATGGAAAAATGGATTTGAACTTGTATCAATTTGGAATTAAACACTATACAGCCTAAAGTTCAGATGTACAGCAAATATGAAAGACACACTGACCTTAGATCATATGGTACCAGGGTAGATTATTTCGAAACAAAAGCCAAACAAATAGAAGCTGAATTGGCAATTGGTAGGAAACATGAGGATGAAATCCTCTTGGAATCAGTGGAAGATGCGCCAGCGCCTACAGAACCCGCAGCTGAGGGCGAGGCCGCACCTGCCGCCGCCGAGGAGGAGGAATAGAGGTCATGAAGTCAAGGTCATAGCCTAGGAGGTCAACAGGTGACCTTTGGTTGTTGTGTGGTGACCTAGATTTGTTGTGTGGTGGACTTTGATCGTTAGAGCATGCTATCACTTCTCATATCATCATGGACACCTCATCCAATCACATCCTTGTAGCATGTACACTTAGATACAGACCATACATGCAGGTAGATTTTCATTGTCTCCATATGTTGAAAGTTTATATTTTACGATTCTTCAATTTTGATGCAATATGTTTTTGGTCCTAGTGTCATCTGAGACAGAATTTTAGTTTTTTCAAAAGTTCAGGTTTTTCTGTACCTCGAGATCAAAGTAGGAAGGCTATATCTTATCTTTAACTGTTGTTTGTTTTCCAAAATTTAAGTTCTATACATCATTTTTGATATGCAAAATGAAAATTTAGATTAACCCAGGTATGACTTATCAATGACCCTCTGGGTTATTGTAACATTTCACTTTAGGGGGGAAGGTTGTTAAATTTTACTGTAGTGGGAGAGGGTTGTTAAATTTTACTTCATTTAGGAAAGTAATAAAATTTCACTTCATTGGAAAAAAGGGTTGTTAGATTTCATTGCAGTTGGAGAGGATTGTTAAATTTCACTTCATTTGGGAGGTTGTTAAATTTCAATGTAATGGGGTGTATTATAAAATTTCACTTTATTTCAAAGGGTTGTAAAATTTCACTTCAGTGGGAGAGAGTTGTTAAATTTAACTGTAGTGGGAGAGAGTTGTTAAACTTAACTGTAGTGGGAGAAGTTTGTTAAATTCAACTGTAGTGGGAGAGAGTTGTTAAATTTCACTTCAATGGAAGAGAGTTGTTAAATTTCACTTCAGTGGGAGAGGGTTTTTAAATTTCACTGTGATGCGGTGTATTGTAAAATTTCACTCTTGGGAGGGTTGTTAAATTTCACTGTGGAAGAGAGGTTTATAACTTTCCACTGTAGTGGGGAGGGCTGTTTTATCTCACTATAGCAGAAAGAGTTATTTAATTTCACTGTATGATGGTAAAATTGTATGTTGTAGATAACAACTGTTAACATTCATGATTTTTTCATTACAATTTATCCTATTTAAAGAAGCATGCGCTGAGTAGATTATTCACTTTGCATGTTACCTCTTCAATCATATAAGATAAATCTTTGAAATTAAATTGTAAGTAGATATTTCAATCATAACATATGTTAATGAGCATATTTAGGGAATAGATTCTATTTAAGCATGTGCCTTGTAAGTTGTCCTAAAAACTTTTTTAAAAAAATAGAATAGATTTCTCATTGCAATTTTCGTTGAAGTTGGGGCTTTTCTTCCCCTGTACATAAAAGATAGGTCTCTCTCTGTCTCTCTCTCTGTCTCCCTCTCTTACCTCCCCCCCCCCTCTCTCTCTCTCTCTCTCTCTCTCTCTCTCTTTCTCCCCTCTCTCTCTCTGTCTCTCTCTCTCTCCCCCCCCTCTCTCTCTCTCTCTCTCTCTGTCTCCCTCTCTCCCCCCTCTCTCTCTCTCTCTCTCTTTCTCTCTCTCTCTCTCTCTCTCTCTCTACCCCCCTCTCTCTCCCTCCCCCTCTCTGTCTCTCTCTCTCTCTCTCTCTCTCTCTCTCTGTCTCCCTCTCTCCCCCTCTCTCTGTCTCTCTCTCTTTCTCTCTGTCTCTCCCCCCCTCCCTCTCTCTCCCCCCTCCCTCACTCTCTCATTTGACATTGATTGATATTTACTAGTACTAAAGTAGTAGTGAAGCTAAATCACTGTGTTTCTCTCTAGTCACAATGAAACTGTTTTCATCCATATAACTCATTCATCATTTCAGTCTGTAGAAAAACCTAAGTACAAAGAGTTTAATTTGACCAAAAAATTCTAAAAAGTATTTGAAAATAGTAGATGATTTATGAAGTGACTCTCAATATTTTGCTAAAGACCAATGAATGTTACAGAAGAATTCATGGTAATATTGTTAATTGATTCCAGAAAATCTTGTTGATAGATGAGGTGGAATTGAGCTACAGGCAAAGCCCATGAAAGTTTGTAGTATAAAATAGAAATGCACAGTTAATATATTATATATCGCTTCAGGATTAGCAAGAAGTATCCATGATTTGAAAAACAAGAATTGAAAGTTTTTAAATTTACTTTTTTCTGTTTTTTTGTTTACAGAACGAGTCATAGATGTTGAGAATAAACAACAGTGTATCATTGCCGGAGGGTGTGTTACAGGGTGTAGCTTGTGACGGCAAATGTGTGTGATGTCATCCTAGTCACCATAGTAACGACTACTGTTGTCGTTAGCAACAGTGAAACATTTGTTGTCAGTAGCAACAGTGAATTTTTCATTCATTAGTTTACCCATCATTATGGTAGTATTGCAAAGAACTCCATGTCAGAAAAATAAAAATTATCATTGCCTGAACCAACAACTACCACCAAATAAAGACAAAACCTTTTCCCTTGGCCATAAGTGTATAAAGCTTGTAATTTTTTTTTTCCACTAATTTAATTAATTTCAGTATTTTGTGCAGTAGATAACTCTTGAAAGTTCTTGATTATACCTTCCTTTACTCTCAAAAAAATGAATAGCGGCTCCTCAGAAATTGGAAGGCATACTTAGAACTTTTATATTTTCGGTTGTATATTTTTTCTTTCCATAATTTGCCCATTTTATACAGACCATTTATACAGTACGGAAAGATCATGCACACACGACATACCTATCGTTGGAACTGGTGAGGTCAGTTTGTACGCAGGTGGCCTTCCAGAACTGCGATGGTTTAAAATGTGTTGTATATCAGAGGATAGTCCCTTTAGTTTTTATATCAAAACTTGTACTGAGAATAAAAGGCTTGGCTATCCCTTCATATTGGATTGTTGTTTGTCTTTTTTATGAGACCTCAGAAGATAACATGACCTTGATTTTTGAATTGATAAAATAAAAAATCTCTGGAATGCGTGTTAAGACAATGTTGTGATTTATATGGTAACAATCATTTCCTTGTGATCATTATACTCTAGGGAGCTGCAAAAGCTCAGTGGAATGTCAGACTTTTCACCTTCATGTAAAGATCGGAGGTGTCTGGTTCAATCCCTACCCAGAGTGATTTGTGTTTATCAGGGACCTGAGGTCAAAGATCTTCCTGTGCTGTTCTAGCGGTGTCTTGGGGCAAGACACTTTAATCAAGGTGTTCAGGATGGCATGTAGCAGGCTTCCCAAAATGGTGATGGTTCAGGTTGCTATTAGCTAATACAAGGAGACCCTGTCACAAAATGGCCCTAGCCCTACAGCACAAACACATTAATAGTGATAAAGTTGTAATTAATTACATTTATGTATGCAGTATATATCTAAATCTTTAGTTAAAATGTTTTGCAATTGATGAAAATTAAATAAAAAAGAAAAAAAAATATATGGAATAAATAGTTGACAAGCACTCCACTTATTCAATATACATGTATACTGTATTATAAGCCCATGCTAATAAGCCCATCCACATATTGGTTGGTCGGAAGACCTGATCAAAGTACTGTAAGTACTGAGGACACCAATAATGGAAAAGATTTTAACTGTGGTTGATTTATATGCTGGATATGGTGTAAATGTTATACAAGAGAAAGAGTTCAAACATCAATTATAAAATTGAAGTTATGTACATGTAGCTGTATATTTGCAATATGCAACAAATATCCAATTTATCACAAAGATTAAATGTTGTTAATCGATTGGCACTTGCTTAGACTATTGAGATGTGATGATGTTGGCCATAAAAATATTTCAACCAACTGCTTTGATTACAGTAAACAAACTGGGACTTTCATGAAACATGTTGTCCGCAGTCTATAAATGACTGTGTCGAAACATGTTGCTCTGTCAACTTGACCTAAACCAAGGAGATAGTATAATGGGTCTATTTTCAAAGTCACATCACTTGACTATAGTGAGGATAACTCCAGGACGATTAACAGCACCATTTTAGGTTAACTAAGCCCTTTGTCTGTCATTTGTCATTCATTAACTTTTTTTAATTTTTGATCTTCTTATGAACCACTGAGCTGATTCAAAGCAAGCATAGTCACTGGCATCAATACCAGAAGGAACAAAATTTGTGTTCTCCATCATTTGGGGTTGACGGCATAGGGCATCTACTGTGAAAACATGTTATTTTAAAGTATCTTCTCCTCTGGGAGACGAATCATTTTATACAGTATTTGACATGGTTTTAATGTCAAACAGTAGCTCCTGCAAAAAAGCAAAACTGACTTCCTGTTGTATTTTTCTGACTGATCCAAAAAACTGAAAAAGCAATAAAATTCCAATTTGTTGGAAACCCGTCAGCTTTGTGTATAGGTATATGCATCTGAAAGTTTTAGGAAGTCCGCAAAGTTGTAAGATAACCTGATTAAAGGCAATTGACACTTTTCTCTCAATTCATTAACTTTTTATAGAGACCACAACTAACAGTGCTAGAGAATAATGTGATTATTGTAGTTTCAAGGCCATGGGATCAAAGTCGGCGACACCGAAGTAGTAAAGCTGCGAATTTTCTCCAAATCTGTTACCTTTTTGTATATTCAGACAATTTGAAACACCTTGTCTGAGTGTCACGTGATGGGTATTTATTGGTATTACAGTTTTAGGTTTTCGGTAAACTCGACTACCCATAGAAAATACTCGCAGACATTTGGATTTGAACTCTTTGCCCCTTGTTATTTTAACGTTATCAAATCTCACAGAAAAATCTTGACGTTGCCAACATAAAGTCTTTATTAAGCTGTCATTAAAAATTTTATTACCGACTCATTCATTACTTGCTGTGAAGGAGAAATACGATTTCAATGTCATATCAATAAGATTTTCTGCCAACCATCCTGTCCTAAAATTACAACCAAGTTACTTATACTGTACACAGTATCTAGGATAATCCCGTCGGTACATTTCTTTGGATTGTGGTTATAAGTACATTTACATCTACGTTACTGAACATACTTTCTATGTGGAAAAGCATTAAATGCTTTTGAAGAGTGACAAATTAATGCTTAGTATTTCTTTTTCTTTTAAATTGTACCCAATCATCGCGTCATTGTTTTGGCTAATACTCCTTAAACCAACAAAATCCATGAATATCATTAATAGTAAATAAATGATTTTACTTTCCTCGTGTGTTTACAGGTAAAGATAATGCTGTCGTTACATCGTGCAATATACAGATCTATTTTTAAAGATAATATATGCCGATTTCGCGCGAAAAATTAACTTTTTCTTTTCATAGCCGATGACCTGTAAATGATGGGAAAAGGATTACAATTATTGTATAGTAACTATAAACTGGTAGCAGGTAAACTTGTTTTAAATATTCTTCTTTAAACTCTCAATATATGAAGCGTCGAAATAAAAAGAAACGTAGAAAATATCATTTGAAAGATATTGGCCAGTTTATCTGTATCATAACCATCCTGTTCTTGCAATGGCGAGAGAGAAAGTTAAAAGTTGTTGAAGAAAATATATAGGATATGTTGTTAAATTTTGGCGAGAGAAAATGAAGATGATCTCTTTCATGCCCACGTCTGTCAGTTTTTCAATGTGTTATTAATTCAACTTGATAATGGGTTTAATGCAGGACAAAGACATTGGTCGAAATTTCTACTATATACTGTAGAAGTTATTAAAAGTTTTATTTTAATTGAACATTTGAGTGCCATCAAATAACAGAATGGGAAAAATTTTCATTGAACAGCAGTGAACATTTTCTTTTCAAAACCAAATACATAACTACAAATGTGTTCTTTTCATTTGAGAACGTTAACAAATAGCTAACTGGGAATAAAGAGATGGATACAGGCGGCAAGAAAAAGAGCGCCTTGATGGAATTGACAAAGGCATTGAGAAAGATATAAAAAAAAAGTCACCTTGTTATGTAACAATTGTGAATTCACTTTACATGGAAGTGGATGATGCAGTATTCATTTATTTATTCAATATTCAAACACGGTAACTTTCAACCAAGCATATTAGACATGTCTGTGAAAAAGCATAATGTCTTGGGTGCAGGGAAAACTCGGACCAGCAATATTGAAATGAATACAGTTAAATTTCTTTAATGAAAAGTGCAGGAATATGTGTTAAACATTACAATTATTTATTGTGAATGTTACCAGCTAAATAATGTGCACAAGAAGAGGAATATATGAAATATTTTCCATCAGATTTTACGAATATGGAATGGAAACGAATATTAGATACAATGTACTGGTATATGAACCCGAACCGAAGTCTGTGATGAACCATGCTCAAAATCGTTTGTTCCTCACTTATTTACAAATGTATTTATCAACATTGATAACAATATCCTCTTATCACACTTATGTGTTGATCACAAACTTTTGTGATCCAGGTTGTTCAGTCTGTCATAGTATTCCTTATACGGGAAGTACTGGAAACTCGCCGAAAGCACCACTTCGGGCGTTTTCGTTTAATTTGCTCCATTGAAAACAAATATTCCTAGGAAGACGTTATGGAAATTCGGTGTATTCTCAATGGCTTGAAACTCGCTTTTATATCACTCTTCGTGTTTAATAGGAAAAGTCGATTTTGTTACCAGAAATTCTTTGATGTTTTGAAATCACAATTCGCGGTCCTGTCGATGTCGGTAAATCGCACGAATGTTCTGTTGATGTTTCGTGAATTTGTTACAAACATGATATACAAATGTTCTTCAAGCTTTTTGATGGACTACAGAATGTCCTTTTCGTCGATCTTTAACATTATCAATTTGCTCATTTTTTTCTGACGAGAACTAATCAGCGGTCGCGAGCCTGTAAGTACATGTATATGCCTCTGTCCGATGTAGGACAATCAAACAGGGGGATGATTTCATTCACATTGTTAGACTAAAGGGAAATTGAGAAATGAATTGAAAAGAAGTTAAAGCTTGTTATGATTTCTATCTAGGGGTCATTAGGATTAGTAATCCGGATACAAGTGATAACGGGTCCAGGCTGAGGCTGGGAGTGGCTACTGCAGTAACCAACACGCAGCGTTCTGATTAGTCAAATATGGCATATTTTATTAATGAAAATAGTAGTTCCAAAAACCCATGAGTGGAGCACCCCTCTCATGTCGCCAGAGAATCGACTCACGTCGATTGGACAATGCCCGGCGACGGACAGAGTCACGGAGACGATGAACCATCATCATCATCATAGTTCCAAAATTTGTCAGTAGAATTCGTCATGGCTCAAATGTCATACACATAGTTGCGGTAACTGCATAGAAAACAAGTCATTTGTGTCAAAAACTGTAAATGGAAACAATTGGCAAGTTACCATGACGATTGATCCAACATATCACACATCCCAGTATATTCTCTGTATAGTCTTTCTAAAACTTACATAACGTGTGAATATGGGATTATATCCTTTTGTTAGCATTGAACTGTCTTGATATAGCATTAACCGTAGTGTTAAATGGCATAACTCCAAACACAAACATCAATGACGTTATGGTCACGTGCTAATGATATTTGTGGTACTATTCTTTCTCGTGTTAGTTTATATCGAGGCAGTGCCAAGTCATTGGATTTTGGAACTGGATCTTAAAGCCAGTGTTTATATCATTAAAACAGTTACTGGACCATCAAAACCGCTGTTGAGCCATACAAAATGTTGTTGGACCATACGAATTGTTGTGCCAAACAGTTGCTGGACCATAAAGATTGTTCTTGAGCTATACAAACTGTTGTTCAGCCAACAAATTATGTTGGGCCATACAAACTTGTTCAGTCATAAAAAAGACAGTTGCTGGACCATACAAACTATATTCCCCTTTTCATGTGAAAGAAAATCAGAATTCAAAAACGTTTTATTTCA